TTTTGTGTTGAATCTTTTAAAGAGCTTTCTGGTTTGGCAGAAAGGAAAAAGCAGGAAATACCACTTTTATTCCTTACTAAGCACAGGAACACTTAAAACCCTTTTATAGTTGGGATGCAAGTCAGCAGCAGAATCCATCTGCCCAGGAAGAGGCAAAGTTTGCCCAGTTCACTTTATCATTAACTCAGTTATTCTAGGATCTCCTTCTGCCTGGGACCTGTCTCCAGGTTTTCAAAGATTTTGCTACCACTTGATACAGCTCTGAACACCTTAGTGATTCTGTGTAATAATTGCATGAAGATACTTATTTCTAAGTAAAATCCTGGTTTATTATAATGAAAATTCCACAAGCATGATAAAGAGGTTTTAGTTGGATGTTGGGTTTTTTTTAAAGCCAGAACTGCGCCATTATAAATCACTACAACAGCAAATAAAGCAACATTCTCTCGCATCATGCCTCAGGAAAAAAAAAAAAGGCATAGTATTTCAAGGAAAATAATTAAGGGAAGTATCACATCAAGACTTTCTGCTTTTAGTAAGCTAAGTAAATTTTGTAAGTAGCATAACTCCTTTAGTTCATCCATAGACTTGACATGAAAAAATTAAATTCTTAAATTAAATAAATTATGAGCTTTTGTTGTCACAATGCAGTCCACAGTTCTTCACCAAGAACAGATAAAGCCTTTAAGGTGAAAGCCTCAAGTACTGCACTAGCATTGGATGACATCAAGATGCTAAGATACATTTACCTTCCATAGACAGATTTATTCTTACGTTATTTAACCTAAAGTCTAATCACATCAAGCAGATGGCAGATGAAAAGTAGTTCCAGTGAGAAAAATAAAAGAACATCAGCTTTCAAATATTTTACATAAACAAATGTGCCAGCTGCCATTTTAGTGGCAAAAGAGACTCTGCCCTGCAAGCAATTAAGTTTTTTATTCAGCTAAAATGTGCAAAGAAAAAAGTCTCAAATTGAGAGGAATATCAGCAGTTCATACTGCACATGAGGGAATAAAATCCTTAGGAATTAACTCCTTTAAGCTGTTTTCTTTTCATAGACTGCAGTGGATCTCTTTGCAGAACTTCCATTTGCAATGCCATTGCTCTCAGACTGCAAATAAAAAAACAGTATCATTAATGAGATGTCAAATTAGAACTTCACAGCTAAATCAGGAACAGCTGGTGACAAAAATGGCTTTTAGAAGCAAGGCCAGTAAAGATCTATGAAGAAATATAGAGCACGAACCAAATGTGGTGGTGTCAGTGTAGATTTACAAATAATTATTGCTTCAGGGGGAAGAGAGGAATGAGGGCAGTGACAACATTTACAAGTCTTTGCATTGTGATAGAAGATAAAAAATAAAACCATAATTTATATGCACTAAGCATCCTCCCCCATTATAAGTGGCAGAGCTGGCTGAAGAGAGGGGCTGTTTTTAATTTCTGCTTCATACATCTGTTGTGATTTGCCAAATATTTGACTGTTGTCCTCTCGAAAAAAGAAGAAAAAACTTGTGTTGTGTTGCCTCTGCCAGTTGTTAAAAAAAAAAAAAGAATTAAACTGTTTTAGGACACAGGCCCAATTCCTCTTCCTCCAAGACCAGAAGAAGCAACTGTTATACTATTTTTCGAAGCAACTACTCCCACCTGGCACAGTAGTGGTAGTTGCTGTTTCTACGAAAGTAGCCACCAAAATACCTGTAAACACACCCAACTGCTCGCCCTCCTGAGCCACCTACCACTGGGTGGCTCATCCCGGAGCTTCCCCGCTTGGCTGGGTGAATTAATCTTACTTTATGGCTTCCAGATCCATCCTCCTGGTCTCTTTTGGCGGCTGCAGGTCCCTGAGGGTCCCCAGTGCTGCCTCCTGGCCCCGGCTTGGTGCCTGGTGGCTCCTGCACAGCCTTCTTGGGCCAGATGCGCTTGATGAAGGGCGCGATCATGGGGTAGATGTAGGGCTCCACAAACTTCTTGTAGACCCAGAGCAGAACAGGGATCACGATGCAGGGAATGCAGACCATGGCTCCCTCCTGTGCTGGCACAGAGATGGTGTGGGGGGAGGAAAAATAGCTTGGGGTGGCAGCATTTGTATGCCACCAGCTGAGAAAAGCAGTATTTACATAGTAAATAAAAACCGTATCTGATATCCAAACATAGATTATTCCTTAATTATAAAGTATCTGCTAAGGTTTCAAAAATGCTCTGTGTTCCAATGTTATAAAGCTTCCAACAAAGGAAACATTCCTGCCATTTTAACAAAAAACCCAAACCAATTTGCTATTAATTCATCAGTCCTACAGATGAAACTAAGGAAAAGAAATTCAGGAAAGAAGACTTTTTGCTTAAATCGCACAAAAAGAGTTTAAGCAGCAAGCTGCCAATATTAGCCCAGTTCCTGCTACATTAAGAGCCCAAAGGGTTTGTTTTGCTCAATCCATTTTTATTTAAGGAGAAACCAGACAGAAGAAAGCCAGTCCATCCAATGGGTTGCTACCACTGAAGGGCATGATAGTAGGAAAGGGGAAAAAAATTCCAATGAGGGTTTGAGAGAATTAGCATATGGGTTACTTTCTTCCTGCTGCCCTCACTTGATCCCACACCAACCCTATGCAATTAACTATTAAAAAATGAACCATGCCCACTCTCTGAAACCCCACAAGTCCTCAAAATTCACATCTTGAAGTCTATGCTGAAAAGAAAAGCAGAAAAGCAAAGCAAGGAGGCAGAGAGGTTCAGCTCAGAGAGGAAGCAATTATTTAGGGCTAGACCTGTCCCTGCCAGTGCTGACAAGCAATATATTAGACGCACTCTGCTGCCACACAACTTTGCCCTTCACAGTCCCCCTCTCTAGGCTGCTGACATTTCAATTCTCATGTCAAGAAGCAAAACAAAAGCTTTCCAAGATGGAGAATGAAGAGGCAGATGTGCACAGCTTGCTAGGGACCAGTTTTGCTTTATATTTTATGTTATCCTCAGAATTCTTAGCTCTGTGAAAAAAGCAGAGTATCAATTTCCAGTAGACTGCTTCCAGATTCTGTTTAGGCTGCTTCAAATGCAGTTTAAATCTACTCTTTGAGGTTTGAGAGACTCTTACATTGAGACAACACAAGTGAGTTAATCCTTTAAACTTACTAAAAAAAAAAAATATTTCAGATAGTGTCCCCACCAGAACTTCCTAAATATTAAAATTCCAGCAAAATGTGGATTCATCCAGCAGCTGAAGAAAGTTGCCGGAGGGAACACTTCAGGCTGTAGAATCATTATAGAATTATGGAATAATTTGT